AAGTTTCATGTTCAAGGCAACACCCTAAACATGAAAAAAAAAAAAACTTCCTCTTCAAACTTAAAGCCTCAACTCAGTTGGCGTCTCAAAGAAATTTGAAAAATGTATTGCATTATCAGATTTACATTTCTGCCCTCCCTAAATGTATTCTTGTATTTGTACTTCCAAAGACTTTTTGCCTTTTTTTAAAATGTATTTCCGATACGTAACGCGATATATTTTTACATATATATTTGAGACTTGAAAATCAGTATCTTAGCAACTATTTTCATCTATCCCAGTATTTGTATTTCCAAATACATTTTTGAATATTACTGCCCAACCCTGCAACGTAATGCAGCTGTCAAGTGACACTTTTAACGTCGAGGAATTAGAGGAATGGAATGGAACGATTCAGAGATTCCAGGAGTGGGGATGGGCCCAGTATCCCCATTCCTAGGAGTTGAAAGGAATGGAATTATCGAAATCTCTAATTCTTCGGCAACACTGTTGAGAACATAGTATCGAAACAGCCCGCAGGAACTTGTATGAATGAGGATGTGATAGGAATCTTTAAAACAGAATTAGGGAAGCATCAAATTAAACAAAGAGGAAAGCAAAAACGAAAACACAAAAAAAAAAAAAAAAACTGGTGGGATAAGGAAGTCAAAAGAGCCATATTATTGCGCTGCCAAGTGGCATCTAGAGAGCAGGGTGCGCAATGAAAACGGGAGCCTTGCAAGGCGATGTAGAATCAAAATAGTTATCGAGAACTTCTAAGATCGAAAAGGGAGGCATCAGCTTTAATACATGCCAACTTTGGGAGTACAGGAGTGCAGCGGGTGATGGAAATAAATAAAAAAGCAACGAATGCCGCAAAAAGAATTTTAGATCGCATTCAAGCGCAGGGGAGGATGACAGAGGGTTTCAAACCTTTACTGACCACACAGGAGGGGAGAAGAGTAGAGGAAGAAGAGGCAAGGGAATATATTAGGCAGACAATCGAAGAGGCTCTCTCTTATTTTAGGCAAAGAGGGACAGTAAATAGCACTGACAGCAGCAGTTTAAAGGAGGAGCAGAATTGTGTAGTAATGGAGACGACCAAAAGAAAATGGGAAAAGGCAGAAAGTAAGGTTCCGGTAGGTACAGCGACAAGCCCAGACGACATACCCATGGAACTCATAAATACACTAGCAAAAACAAGCAGAATCAAGTAACGGCATATGATTAATAAAAAAAAAATATGGGAGGAGAAGTACCAAGGAGACGTAAAACTAAGTAAAATGAGACTAATATGTAAAGGCAGACGGAACAAAGACAACATTAAGTCACATTGCCCAACAACGGCAACTTCAGTTCCATACAGATTAGCTATGTAGATATTGAAGCGGAGAATGGAGCACTGGGTAAAAGATAAGCAAACACTGGGTGAACTAAATAGGTTCCGATGAGATACAAGAATGGATGATAACTTATTCGGTCACCACCAAATGTGTAGAATAAGCAATCAAGAACCAAACTCTTTTACGATTAGCTCATTTGGACATCAAGGGAGTGTACAATTATGTGAGGCAGTAAAATTTCTGGGGTAAACTGAAGAAGTATAATTTAGGTGCCCATTTGGTTAGGTTTCCTCAGCAGTTGTACACAGACAATAAGGTAGCTATAATATGGAAAGCGGAAACTACACAACCCGCAGCAATAAAAAGAGGGCTTATGCAGGACTATCCACTCTTACCTTTACTCTTCATGATATATATCAGTGAAAGTGAAAAGAAATTAAAGCAGAAAAACTTAGGTTTTGATGTGAGTTATATAGAAGGAAGGAGAAATGTAATACAGACATACCTCGGAAAACCTTACTCATGAGGGCCCTCACTCACCCTCAGTCAACCTCATCTTCACAGGTGAGGTGAGGGTGAGTGAGTTTTTGAACCAGAAAAATTCATGAGTGTGAGGGTGAGTGAGGGCCGTGAGGGCTGTGAGGATTGTGAGGACCGTGAGTGTGTGAGGGCCGTGAGGGCGGTGAGTGCATGAGGGGTGTGAGGGCCATGAGTGCATGAGGGTCGTGATGGCGGTGAGTGGCGTGAGGGCCATGAGTGCGTGAGGGGTATGAGGGCCGTGAGGGCGGTGAGTGCGTGAGGGGTGTGAGGGCCATGAGTTCATGAGGGGCGTGAGGGCGGTGAGTCTGTGCGGGGTGTGACTGCGTGAGGGGCGCGAGGGGTGTGAGGGCCGTAAGGGCAGTGAGTGCGTGAGGGTTGTGAGGGCCATGAGTGCGTGAGGGGCGTGAGGGCGGTGAGTGCTGAGGCCCCCTTCAGACGGAGCAACTTCATGATCAATTTTGGTGTTACTGGCGGGTTGTTCCCTAGCTTTCCCTAGATCGACACGAATTCCTGAGATCAGGTCCGGCTCGAAACAAGCGAGCAACTCGAAGCAGTTAGAAGACGTTCGAAGTTGCTGCGTCCATTCAGGGACGCGGTATTTTCACGTGATACCTCGTGTCGGGGATGATGAGAACAAAAGGCTTGGTTCTGTTTTAAATGAATCATTTTTGGAAATAAACTGTTTCAGAATGTGCATTAGTATTCTCAACGAGATTTAAATGTATAAAAACACGTTTATGGCGCGTAATTGTGTGTCTAAATTGTGCAAGAAAAATAACAATTTATAATGATGACGGCAAATGGCAGCAATTGGTTCCTGCGTGTGAACGCGGGCGACCTGTGTTGCTTGTGTTGCGACGTCAAGTTTCTGTGCAAAATTGCCCCATCTGAAGCGAGCCTGAGTGGCGTGAGGGCCATGAATGCGTGAGGGGCGTGAGGGGTATGAGTGCGTGAGGGGCGTCAGGGCCATAAGTGCGTGAGCGGCTTGAAGGGTATGAGTGCGTGAGGGCCGTGCGGGCGGTGAGGGGCGTGAGCGCCATGAGTGCATGAGGGCCGTGAGGGCGGTGAGTGCATGAGGGGCGTGAAGGCCATGAGTGCGTGAGGGCCATGAGGTTCAGTGAGGGTGAGTGGATTTGGCTGAAGGTAACTGTGACTGTGAGGATGAGGGTTGAGTGAGGGGCTCCAGGTGAGTGTAGCTGTAAGGGGGAGGGTGAGTGAAGGGCTTAAGTGAGTGTGGCTGTGAGGGTGAGGGTGAGTGAGGGCAACATAAAATGCAGAGTTCTGAACAGGTAATACCAGAACTGGTTACGCGGACGACATAACACTTATGGCAGATAGTCAGGATACATTACAGGAACTAGCTGGAATATGTTGAGAGGAAGGGGACACCTTGGGCGTGAGTTTTACTAGTGGCAAATCTGAAGTAATGGTATTAACGACGAAAAGATGGAGCCCCTGAGGATAAAAGATATTGTAATAGACTATGCAGTAAAGTAAAAATATCTGGGAGTCGGGTTTAATGACGAAACGAAACATCAAGCGGATCATGATAATAAAATTAGAAGAGATAAAATAGATTGATCAACTATGAATCTCAAGGTTCTATGGAACTAAAAATATATTTTGTGGTCAGAGATATATGGAAAGGAGTGATGGTACCAGGAGTGTCTCTTGGCAATGGGGTACTGTGCATAAAATCAGAGGTTCAATCAGGATTAGAAATTTGACAAAGGGCACACAGATCGGCACTGTGAGCACATGGAATGACATCAAATAAGGGAGTACAAGGGACATGGGCTGGTCGTCTTTGGAGTGCAGGGAAGCAATAAGTAAGTTCAAATTTGGACAAAGGTTGACCGAAATGGATGATACGCGGCGGGCACGGAAGGTATTCAATTATTTATGCACGAATGGCTTGAGCACGGAGTGGACAAAACGAATCTTAAAGATTATATTCAATTACCTACACACTTGTGATGGGACTGAGTAGACTACTTCAGTGAAAAAAAAAAGTAAAAGAGGCAGAAAGATAATTGTGGGAGGTAAAAATGCAGGAAGAATCTGCGCTGATAATGTACAAGTCAAAAAACAGAAAACAAAATAAAAGATATGTGACGATTCAATGATAAGTTTTTTACTGTTTGAGGAGAGAACGGGAGTTTTGAGGACAATGAGGCTAAATTTCAGGAGACAGGGATATAATATTCCGCGTGCCATAATGAGAGCTAGACACTAGACCACTTGGTTTTAAAGCGCTTCGGGCTTCGCCCTGCCCTACCCGAAAGGGTAGCGGATTTGGCCGGGACTTTAGGTTCTGCTGGCGACGATGGAAGGACAAAAGATAAAATGATTACCGTCAGAAAGAGGCGATTAGAAGATTTGTGAAAAATATCTAGGAAAAACTGAATGATGCACAACTAACTAGCACAGCTGGGGATAGTTGGGACAGACGAATATTAGGACTCCCACCCGCGTTGCTCCGGCCCAGTCTCAACCCTGTCTTCAAGTGGGTCTGGTGGTGGGGTAGCGCCGACAAGGTTTGTCCAGAGAAGAATTGGCGACTCTCTCGCCGGGAGGAAGAGGCAGGGTGATAGGGGGATAAAATTGGCTTAGGTGGAAGGGAAGAATGATATGTTTGTCTTTTTAGACTTAGGTTAGGTGGGGCACGTTACCGCCCGTTGCAAAGGGTATAGTTATTAACATTCCAAAAACCATCAATCCTTTTATGATCCCGCGTTCCGAGGCAACGGAAATGCATTGGAAGATTACGGATCATTCCTCACGAGATTCTGTATTAACTCTAGGACAAGAGAGCAGGTAAGGCAGAATGGTTTACGCATAATGTGTTGTAAAGCGTGTTCGAGCTTTACGAAAGCAACGTTAATCGTCGACTAAATGTTGCGAAAAACTCTAGCGCTAGATTTAGCAGGCGTTTCATCAATATGTAAAACATACTCAGAGTAATTTTGCTTTGATACATTCGACAAAGTAATTGACAAGTTTTAGTGTTTTTCCTATAGTATATCGTGTTTATATATCAACATGAAAACCTGCCTGTACGCAGGTTTAATCAAGTTTATGTAATATAGGCTTACGCGTTTGATGCTTATTGTTCTTCTACGCAATATGTGAACTTACAGAAGCGATAGCTGAACGGCAGCGGCCCTGACGCCGCTGTAGCTGCCGTCATCTGTCACTGCCGCTACTTTCTCATCCGGCACACAAATTCCTCCGAGTTTTCCTGAGATTCCTGAAACATATGTTTACACGTCAGAGGTACATATGCCCGGGAGAACTAAAATAAATTACTAAAATATAGGGTACGTCCTGAAAACAAAAATTAAATTACCCGCAAAAAGAAAGGTGTATGGTTTGATGATTTGTTTATTTCTGTAAACACAGAAGAAGAAAATGTGTGAAAAAATATAGACCGAAATTAAAAGATGGTGTGAGACAATTGAAGCGCGTAGACATGGCTTTGAAATGCGTGCTTAAACGTACCTGAAAATCCGTAACTATAGGCATTCTTGGACGCCCAGTGTACAATCTCCTATGAAAGACCTAATTGCCCGGCAGTTAATGCTGTCGCGCTAAGCATATTTTTATGAGAGGCACTCTATTTTTAGAGAGACAGTAGATTAAAGTTTAATTTCTTTCCATCTCGAGTGATGTGCGCCAAGCTAAGGCAAATCCCGCACAGCCGCCTAAAGCTGCGTCATCTCCGATAAAGCTAAGGTTTATCGGAGAAAGAACTACATTATTTAGACAGAAGGTGTTTAAGACAGTAAGCCAGTAAAACCACTAATTTTTGTTTACATCTGATATTACTTAACAACTAATTCCTGTAACTCTTGGACTTTTTGCATCACTCAAACTATTTACGCCGAAAGTGTAGTCGACAGTAGGCCAGCATATCACCTGGTTTACACCTGTTCGTGATTTATTTTGTCATTATTTTTGTAATTTTTGTAACTCTTCAACTCTGGTGTATTAGTATTATTCTCCTTTATTTTCCTTTTCTTTGTCTTCTATTCATCTTTTTTCCTTTTCTTTTTCTTTTGCCTTCCCCCCTTTGCCTTGTCTTTCCCCTTTTCTTCCTTGGCAACCTATTCCTTGGGGTCGAAGAAGACGAAGTTTGAAATACAATTCACTTGATAGTTCAGCGCTGTGTGAGTGTATTTTTTTGTGTGTTTTGATTTTGAATAACTGTCTACTTGCGCTGGTTCGTAATGAGGCTTTCACTTTTTTATTTATTCTTTCAACTTGAATTAGCAGCCGCATGCTGTCGCCGCGAGGCGGCATGAATGTAGGCGGGGGGTTGGTTAACGAGCTCCCCAGGGATACACGTGCTGTTCGACTGATCCTCGTAAGCTCGAGATATTTTTAACCTGATCGAGTCACGAATGTTCCACGCGCCGAACTTTCTACGCCGAATGTTCCAGAAACCCACGTGGGTACAAAACGTGCTCGGAGTGGCGGTCCGGAGTCAGTGTCGCCCCAGTGCTCGATCCTGCTGTTTCGCTGACATCGACGCCTGCGACGCTAGCCTTCCTTTCTTTTGTTTTGGGCACACGTTCGCCCATGAAATGTTTAGTTTCTTCAGTTATTCACCGCCTCATCATTTGCCATTCGTGACAATTTCTTGCTCCTTATAGTTGGACCGCATAAAAAAATCCCTACGTGGCACTTTTTTTCTGTTTTGCGTTGTTGCGTACTAAAAACCATTCTGGTAAACCAGATTTGCGCAGCTGTATGATTGTCGTGGTCACTGACGTCGATACAAATTACGCATTGCGGAAGTATATTGAAAAGTAATTGAATTACATTTCGAAGTTTATATACTGTACTCAAGATACTTTACAGTGAAAGTAACTTGAGTAGTATTTTAAATACTTTATGAAGCAGGTAGTTAGTAACTTAACTTAAATACTTTTATCGAGTACTTTGGCCACTGGCGTACAGCTTTACTCTTTGTGAGTAGGTTTATGCTGGCTTTGTTCATGCGACGTTGAGTGTTTCTGGCAGATTCACTTGTGCATAGGCGTAGACTACGCGGGGGAGGCATCGGGGCTCGTGCCCCCCCCCCCCCCCCCCCCCTGGTGAGATCCGGGGAGGGCAGAGACCTCCCCCCCCCCCCCCCCGGGCCATGATCCTTACTGAGACGCTGTTTACGTGCCATGTAACGAGCTTCTAGTAGTGGCATTTAAACAAAATAACGCCCACGTTGCCTTGTAGACAAAATACATGTCAAAATGCAATCCCAGCGTGCTTTCGTTAGCTTCAATCTCCAGTTCTGGCGAGAAGGTAACGCAGCATCGATCACTTTTACGTCCGCTTGGTCTGCTTGGTTTGAACACTGTTTTGTACGTTGTCTTGTTACTGAATGTTGAGCCTCTGCTGAGTTCGAACACTATTTTGTGCGTTGTCTTGTTAATGAGCGTTTGACCCGATATTAAGCTTTCTGTTTTTCAGATTTGTTCTCGCCGGCGCATGCGCCGTGGTACCGGTGACAAACACACGGCTACGCTTGCACGGTGATTGACATTGATACACAGCGACGGACATATGGCGATATATATACACTGTAAAATGTACCCCCTAAAATAAACTACTGATAATTGCCGGTGTAGAAAAAAAAATTGCGCGGAAATGCACCTTTTTTCCTCCTGGAGAACTTCTCAGCCTGCCACCTTCCCCCCCCCCCCCCCCCCCCCCGGGAAAATGGAAAGTCTACGCCGCTGCACTTATGATTGTCCGTACACCAGCGGTCTCGGATCACATGTCTGAAGTTATTGTGAGTTTAACGGACATTGACTGTGTTCTTGCCGGTTTATCGCTTACTATCGCCGTGACGCTTAAACTGCTAAAGTGGTTTTTCTTGTGATTTACGTACCGCAGAGCGGTTTCAAGTTCCAACTTCTATGTTATATAGGCTGGGCTTGATGCAATAACAAACGTACACATTCGCATCTTCAATGAAGTACGATCCACGAAAGACAACCGCATACGTAATTTGGAACAATCCATCAGTGACAGTCAGACGTCATCTGATGGACCATCAAAGTGCTTTTCACTAGGGGGCATTGTGACTGGAATTCATGAAATGTCCAAAATTACGAACTTGATGGAATGTTGAATAGGGTAGTTCTTGCCGCATACGCCAAGCTGTGGTGATGGATATGGCGACGTAGGTACGCGGTTTCCGATATGCGCCCTTCAGTATTCTGCTTTCCGTGCTTAGCAGTCGCAGCCATGGTTTTTCGTCGTGAACGGCCGGAATACGTCCATACCAACTTTTCGTTCCACGCTTCTAACTTCATTGCTGGTCACAGTGAAGTAGCCAAGTGACGCGCGGCCATGCTTGCCCTAAGAAGTTTGTAAGACACCTTGAAATATGTCGTAATATTCCGTTGTGCCACGCAAAAGTTGCTACAATTTTGTTTTGCGAATACAAATTTCCTCTCAGGTTTTGTCATAAGCAATTTTTTATCGTAAGTTTGCTTTTGAATCTGTCCTCTGAAGTGTCGATTCTCCCAATAATTCAAACTTGGCATTTTGCATCAAATTGTGAAAGCTGCAGTTGATACCCATTCGGAGCATGGCTTTATGATTTACATAGAACTCTATTGCCATTTCCTTCCTGTCCGTTGGGATGAAAAATACTTCTTCGAGATGGTAGGTAAGAGCAAAAGAAAAACAATACAGGACAGGAAGTGGACGTAAACACCGGAACCAGTGTTTATGTCCACTAATTGACCCATTGTTTTTTGCGGCGCTTGTCTACAATAATGAACCAATTAGACCAAATTGTTTCATTAATTCTTCGAGATGCTCATCAGTCATAGCTTCTCTATGTTCAAATTCGGTAAACTTCATCAGCGACAACCTCTGCTCGCTTATCTTTGGCAGAGCTTGTCAAAAGCTAACATAAAATACTGCAACGCGGCGGCAAAAACAGTGAAAGAATGATTATCACAGACAAATGTGGCAAAATATACTTCTGCCCCATTTACCTGACAATGTTATTATTGCAAATCAATAAACTATCAAGATAGTGTGTAAATCAAGTGCCTGGGTGAGCAAAACTGTAGGAATGTGAAATGTGACTTTCCATGTTTAAGGCTGGTTCACACATACAATGCAGCGCTAACTCAGCCCTGTTAAGGCTGCTAGTCACCGCTACTCCCATGGCTTGTATCGTGTGTTCCGAGTTGCTTCCTTTCATACAAAGCACCGATGTCTCGGTTTGTAATACTAATTCAGTGCTGAGGTAGTGCTGCGCTGGGAACAGAATACCTTGCTCGGACCTTGAAGTTTAGATAAGCAGATCAATGTGTAACTGTGCATCTTTTTTCTGCATATGTTACCAGAACTCCAGTGGACACAAAGGTAGTACAAGGTCCCCCATGGACAGAAAGGCAGCGTACCGTATGCTCGAATTTTGCATTTTTAGTAGACTAGTCATTTCTTCTTCCCACGGTCTTGTGCAGGCATTTTCTGAACACTGCATGCATATATAGGCATACAAATAATTGACTCTTGAACTCACTTTCCCCTTCCCTCAAAACAGCGGCTACATCCGGATCAAATGCCACTCAACCTATTGCCGTCTTCCCTCTTAGAGCTCTCCATTTAGGAACCCATGTTAGGAGTATAATTTCAAAGGAATTTAATTTGAAAGTCTAGATACACTGCTCTGAGTCTCTGTTGAAAATCAAGTGTTTTTTTTTCTACCGCATTGCAATTCAAGTTTTGATGGGCCATTTAATTAGGTATATTCTGACTCGTTAGAATATACTTAATGAGGTGGCACGTTAAAACCTCAATTTCAACTCAGTAGAAAAAAACGTTTGATTTTCAACAGAGACTCAAAGCAGTGTATCTAGATTTTCAAATGAGATGTATTAGAAATTCTTATGAGGTAGCATGGCAAAACCTTAATTGAAACGCGGTGGCCAATAGTTTTCGTAAACTCCTCAAGGACTCGTTACAAAAAAATCACTTGTTTTTCAACGCAAACTCCAAATGGTGTAAATAGGCTTTCAAAATATATTTATATGAAATATATTATAAACTTTATGCGGTATCACGTCGAAACATCGATTGCCACGCGGTGGGCAATAGTTTTCGTAAAATCCTTACGGATTCGTTACAAACCTCATCAGCATTTCTACTGTGACTCGCAAAGATATGATGAGTAGACTCCATAAACGTTCAAATTAAATTCATCAAAACATTTTGTAAGGGGAGGAACCGGCTGTCCAAGAGTCGTCTGCTTCGAAACCAACCAGCTTACGATGAGCGTCCTCCGCAGCAACAGTTCCGTTTGCTAGAATAGCCAGCGCTACGGCAACAGTTCATGAGGCAACCACACCCTCAATTTAGCCGCGAATCTGTGACGGGTCTAAGGCCAGGGCACAAAGCGGTGCTTTGAGCCGAAACGGCAAATTGCACGGGTGCGATCGCCGGCGATCGCCACCGGCCACGGCGCTACAAGGCTAAAAAAACTCAAGCGGATATGAACCTGGAGTCACTTTTTTGGTTTAAATTGAAACTCATCAATTTGTGATGCCTTATATATTCTCGTTATAGATAGATTCGGTCGAGTTCAATTGCCGTTATAAAAAGAGAAGCCTAGAAATACTTTTTGTCTCGGAGCTTTGTTGCTGTGTCGGTAACGAGGCCCCGATGGCCTCCACCATGGGGTGTTATCACGTGCCTTGCTCCGGCGCCCTTATTGGGTCGCGGGGGCCGCAGCCGCCACGGTTCACCAAGTTATCGTAAAACGCAGTATACACAGGACTGCCCTGTCCTCCCGATAGCTGCCTGTGCCTTCAGGGGAGGAAGAGGGGGGAGGGGAATAGCTTTACGACTTTTAACAACATTCTGCACCCTAACAGAAAGAATGGTGCTATATCGCCCGTCCACAGAGGCGAGCGGCCGTGAAATTTCCACTGTAAGTTCCCTCATTTCCGCATGTTTTATTTTCAGTCACCTGCGTTCACATTGTATTAAAAAAAAATGTATTTGCTGTATTGCCTTGAAACTAATTTTTTATTATTATTATTATTTATCTGGCATTTTTTAGGGTCTTTTTTTGGACCCGAGGATATGCGTAAATATTCACAGCCTATCTCCGGGAAAGCTGACATCTGGAGTGAAATTGTAGCCGGCGTATATCACAAAGCGACAGGATCAGCGCACAATAAAATCGGCTTGAATAGTGCTTGAGTGCTTACGCATTCCTGTTCCGCAAAATGAGTAGAGGTGTGGGATTTGTTTCAGGCGCTTTACTTTTTACTAAATCGTAAGTATCTATGCGTGTTATTGAGTTCAGTGTTGCGTATGTGTGTATTTACGTATGTTATTGTATAATTATATATATATATATATATACATGTTATTTGAATTTACCTTCGGAAGCTCGTGGTAAAATAAATTGAATTCTTATATTATAGACTGCCAACACGTTTTTTTACCAGTTCAATCCCACATAATTACCCCCCCCCCCCCCCCTTGTTTTTCTCGTTCGGTTAAGGTTGCACCTGGCATGGTTGTAGGGCATTCTCAACACTTTCTTAATGTTCAGCAATAAAAACGAGCCCATTGGTAGCACGTGGGCAGTAGTGACGCGCAGTTTTAAAGCATGATCAGGCTAAATAAAGTAACATAATGCTGCGTTCTCGTTCGCATGCTGCTTCTCGCTGTTAGTTCGACTTGGCCCGCAGCACCACCGGTGTCGTTCGGTTCTTGCCTGGTCGTTTCAGCTTACAATGTCCATTGCTGTACCTCAAACGTATCTCACATCACGAGTGCCAATGATCGGAAAATAGCTCCGCACATAGAGCATCAACCTTTTGCTCATGACAGAGTTACCTATTCAATACACGGATTAACTTTTAATCTACTCCCTATATCGTTTCCTAACTACTTACAGGTTGTTTGAAGAACGATGAAGCAACCAGTGAAGCAACGAAATCTTTATACGATTAAACCAGTAGCAATTTGACAAGCTAAACATATCCGAGTTACAATTAAGAGTGAAATCTTTTATGTCGTGCGCTAAACTTTACTCCAAGAAGCAAGCAATCAAATTAAGTACACAAATTTGTCATCCCCCCCTTTAACGACCTAGCACTGCGTGTGAGTTTGTCTAACCGTATGTGTGTCAGTTTTTCTTTTTTTTTGTTTACTATAAAGTTTATTTTGGCTGCAAGCGCGAGTGAAAACCTATTTACACTTATCTGCTTACCGGTGGGAAGATTTGCTGTTCCGCTCCGAATTTCTCGCCTGCGAGGAAAGGCGTGTATTAGTTTAATTTATGTGAACTTTCCCCTATCTGGCTTCTGTTGCTTGGCACTCTCTCTATATGTGCAAAACAAATCAAAGTGAAGCAAAATTAAATATTTATTTTATAAAAGTACTCACAAACTAAGCATTGTCACATAACTTTTACGGCCAATGAGAATAAAGAAGATAAAAGAAATATTTGCACTAACGCAGGATTTTGTAGCCTCTATTCGAGCTATCAAATTGAAGAATATGTTTTCTTTAGACATAATAAAATCCAAAAAAAGAAGAAAAGGTACAAATGACACGTCACAAACACAGCCAAGAAAGTTTTATTCAGACAGTTTTTTCTCTGTTAAATGTATACTTAGTTCGGGATCAAACATGGAAGCCGGTCATTTTCTCCCATGACCAGCTACTAAGGACAATTTATCAATCTATCTACTCATTTAACGACTAAGGCTTCAGTACTCACGAGAAAAATGTAAAATATAATCGATAGACGCGCTGCGCTGCAAAGTTCTACAGAACAAACCCGTGACAAAATTTGCTTTCGTTTTTTTCCAAACTCACGCATGGGGAAACTCATGCATTGAAAAGGAGAAAGAAAGAAAAGAATAAACAGGTTGTTAGTCTGCGCCCATTCGTGTTCGTTGTGTTTTTCCTCATCTCAATGTGACTCATCCTTTTCCTTTCAATTTTTGGTCACGGGTTTGTTTTGTAGAACTTCGCAGCGCAGCACGTCTATCAATGTACAACCAACTAGCCCAAACCCAAGCCCAAGCTTTAGCCATTAGTAAAATATAAGTTTTATGCAACGCTTGTTTTATAATTTTTCTTTTTCGAAGTTCTTATGAGCTGGAGCTTGAGATTTAACTTTCACTAAAGCAAAAACGTCTTGTGACGTTCATTTATAATTCAATATTTTCGGAAATATCTTTTTGCTTAATATATAGCGTGTACACTAATGCGTCAATCAAATATGAGCTGGTCTGCAAAAAGTTGGTTTCTCAACGCATCGCGTCGCCATTTACTACAGACATGCGGCTATATGATGGGAGGTTGAAGAAACAATGTCAACATTTAAATTTATTTCCTTCAAAATAAAAAAAAAAGAACTTTCCGGTAATTTCGGGTCACTAAATAACCAACGCTTAGAATATCTGCAATTCAGTCATCGATTTCCGCCTGGGAGCCGCAATCTTGGCGTTTAGTGCGGAGCGGGCGCAACTAACGATCGCTACGATTCTAAAATACGCCTTCCTGACCTCGAGGTATTGCGTCGGGAAGCTCAGGCAACCGCGTTTTGCTCTGGCGGAGGCTGCTTTCGCAATTCTGGAGAACGAAATCCCGTTTCCCTCAATTCCTGATAAAGCTCCAGATAACCGGCCACAATGATCTTAAGCACTAAAATGGCTCAGGTGTCGTTACTCTCAAGCGTAACTTATTTAATAGCTCTAGAAAGATCTACAGCAACAGCTTTCTGGAGGCGGAGACATTACGGTGCTTGCCGACTTGTATATGCTGCTGAGAGATAGCGCAAGGTCAAAAACGTGGGTTATAGAGCGTCCAAAATGAAGTGAGGGTCCAACTCAAAACAAGGGTAACGATTGCAATTTAATGGTCGAAGCCTCCTGTGGAGATTACTTTTAATGGGACATGCGCTGCGTTGTCGAGTGGCGAAGAGAAAACCAGGCGGAGAGGTGGTCAACGCTTTTGCCATCTCTTTCCAGTCACGTAACCTTGATCGAGAGTTTCCAAACTTAGTTAAGTAGGTTCCGAGGGGAATCGTTGTCTCGATTGATCATCTCTATAAGAAAAAGGGGGCCCTGTTTTCGTATTTGGTTTATTCTAATAAAGATATCCCGCTTGGAAAATTCTACTTTAGGCAGCACCAGCCTTAGCGCACACTCGATGGTTTAAATATCTCTCTGCTACATTTAACAGAAAACACGCACCATCAGCAAACCACCGTCGCAATTTTCCTGAAGCACGTTCTTCTTTTTTCTCCTTTCAAAGATGTAGTTCACCCGTTAATATTCGCATACAAAGTCGCACATTTTTTATCCACTCGATTCTGGCGCACCACGAAGCTCCACAATACACACTAACTGATCGAGGCAGCCCTTTCTCTGTTATGCACTTGAAGATGTCCTTTTCTTTTTCCGCAGTTTATAAAGTTAAAGCAGCCTACCATTCTCAAATCAAAAAATTGACCGAGCGCTTTAAACGCGCTATTGCTGACATGGTTTCAGTTTATGTCACCGAACACCCCAACAACTGGGACACCATTCTGCCTTACATAACATACGCATATAATATTGCCCGACAATCTTCTGCAGACTATATCCATACTACCTGCGACAGGCGTCCAAGCCCTTGAAACATCTTAAAATAGTATTTTCCCACGGAGCTGACCACTTCGTCCAGCCGTGCGCAGAGGAGATCATCTCCAGAGGAAAAGATGCTCGTCATCTCGAAAAGAAATCCTAGGCCCACGGAAGAACAAGCGGCATCAACGCATCGTCTTAAAAGCTCTACTAAAGTATGTCGATGACACCGGACTGATCGATCAACTTTGAGTGTGTCCGTGTAAGTGTTGTGTTTTATGTGCGCGGGATTTACTCTTCTTCTAATCGTCTTTATTCCCCTCTACCCTTCCCCACGGAGTAGCCAGCCAGAGAAACAACGAATTCCGGCGTACTTCCCAATGCTTCAAAAAATATCAATTTATCTGCAATCGCTAAATTTCTCATCTACAAATGAAAGACAAGTCAATCGTTAATTTAGACTAAGTTCTAGGCTGTATAAACATACACACACCCCAATTTTTTCTTGAGGGGGCAGTGGGTACATGTTTATATGTGTATGTGTTGTGTATATGTATGTTCCCGCTGTATGCGAACTCTACTGTATTCTAGGTAATGACAAGCGAAATGTATCTGTGCGTAGGAAAATTTACAGCGTATTTTATGCTATCCCTAAGACGAATTGAAGGCGAAAGCCCAAGCGCCGATGAATTAAGGACAAGCTATTTATTTTCCTAGTTCACTTTGTATCCTCTTAATTCGCTTTGACATACTTCTTAATTTCATTGCCTCAAATTCGCCTGAGGGTACACGCAAACATCATAGCAAACCTCCGAAGACAGCGCGCTCTGTGACGACGCACCTTTGGCGCTGTTTCACTGGCTTAAGCGGGTCGTAGTGTTGGTTGCGGTCCCAGTGTTTGCGAACCTCCGAAAACCGCGCGCTCTCTGACGACGCACGTTTGGCGCCTTTTCATTGGCTGACTGGATCGTTGGGTCTTTTGTGTTCACGGTGATAGCGAACCTTCGAAGACAGCGCGCTCTCTGACGACGCACGTTTGGCGCCATTTCATTGGCTCACTCGGATCTTAGGGTCTTCTATGGTCCCAGGGATAGCGAACCTCCGAAGACAGCGCGCTTTTTCACGACACACCTTTGGCGCCGTTTCACTGGCTCAATCGGGTCGTAGTGTTGGTTGCGGTCCCGGTGTTTGCGAACCTCCGAAAACAGCACGCTCTCTGACGACGCACGTTTGGCGCCGTTTCATTGGCTGACTGGATCGTTGGGTCTTTTGTGTTCACGGTGATAGCGAACCTCCGAAGACAGCGCGCTCTCTGACGACGCACGTTTGGCGCCGTTTCATTGGCTCACTCGGATCTTAGGGTCTTCTGTGGTCCCGGTGATAGCGAACCTCCGAAGACAGCGCGCTTTTTGACGACACACCTTTGGCGCTGTTTCTCTGGCTCAAGCGGGTCGTAGTGTTGGTTGCGGTCCCAGTGTTTGCGAACCTCCGAAAACAGCGCGCTCTCTGACGACGCACGTTTGGCGCCGTTTCATTGGCTGACTGGATCGTTGGGTCTTTTGTGTTCACGGTGATAGCGAACCTCCGAAGACAGCGCGCTCTCTGACGACGCACGTTTGGCGCCGTTTCATTGGCTCACTCGGATCTTAGGGTCTTCTGTGGTCCCGGTGATAGCGAACCTCCGAAGACAGCGCGCTTTTTGACGACACACCTTTGGCGCTGTTTCTCTGGCTCAAGCGGGTCGTAGTGTTGGTTGCGGTCCCAGTGTTTGCGAACCTCCGAAAACAGCGCGCTCTCTGACGACGCACGTTTGGCGCCTTTTCATTGGCTGACTGGATCGTTGGGTCTTTTGTGTTCACGGTGATAGCGAACCTTCGAAGACAGCGCGCTCTCTAACGACGCACGTTTGGCGCCGTTTCATTGGCTCACTCGGATCTTAGGGTCTTCTGTGGTCCCGGTGATAGCGAACCTCCGAAGACAGCGCGCTTTTTGACGACACACCTTTGGCGCTGTTTCTCTGGCTCAAGCGGGTCGTAGTGTTGGTTGCGGTCCCAGTGTTTGCGAACATCCGAAAACAGCGCGCTCTCTGACGACGCACGTTTGGCGCCTTTTCATTGGCTGACTGGATCGTTGGGTTTTTTGTGTTCACGGTGATAGCGAACCTCCGAAGACAGCGCGCTCTCTGACGACGCACGTTTGGCGCCGTTTCATTGGCTCACTCGGATCTTAGGGTCTTCTGTGGTCCCGGTGATAGCGAACCTCCGAAGACAGCGCGCTTTTTGACGACACACCTTTGGCGCAGTTTCACTGGCTCAATCGGGCCGTATAGTGTTGGTTGCGGTGCCAGAGTTTGCGAACCTTCGAAAGCAGCACGCTCTTTGACGACGCACGTTTGGCGCCGTTTCATTGGCTGGCTGGATCGTTGGGTCTTTTGTGTTCACGGTGATAGCGAATCTTCGAAGACAGCGCGCTCTCTGACGACGCACGTTTGGCGCCATTTCATTGGCTCACTCGGATCTTAGGGTCTTCTGTGGTCCCAGTGATAGCGAACCTCCGAAGACAGCGCGCTTTTTGACGACACACCTTTGGCGCCGTTTCACTGGCTCAATCGGGTCGTAGTGTTGGTTGCAGTCCCGGTGTTTGCGCGAACCTCCGAAAACAGCACGCTCT